CGGGGAAGGAGGACAGGGGTGGGGGAGGGGAAGGGAGGGATGGGGGAGGCGATGGAACAGAGAGGGAGAGGATGCAATGGGGCAGGGAGTGAGGGGAGGTGGATGCAATGGGGCAGGGGATGAGGGGAAGCAGAGGAAATGGGACGGGGGGTGAGGAGAGAGACTGTAATGGGGTGGGGGTGAGAGGAGGGGAAGCAATGGGGCAGGGGTGAGGGAAGGGGGTTAGTGGGGAGGGCTGTGTTGTGGTACTGCAGGCGGTTGTGTGGTGCTGGTGGGGAGGGTGTTTGTGGGAGGGGGGCTGCTGGGCCAGGAGTTGCTGCTGACGCCCCCAGCACACGCAGTTCCCACCCCACACCTCTACAACACCCCCTCCTGCCGCATGGCCACAGGCACCAAACCTCTCCCCCATCCCCCGCCCGTCCTGCCCATGCACCCAGCCACTCCCGGCTCAGCCCTGTCTCCATCAGCCCCCCAGCTCCAGCCCCCCACAACACCCCCCCACACACACACACACACATGGCTGGTGACAGCCAGGGCGACACAACCATGGAGATGAAATCACCAGGGGCAGAGTTACACACGGCTGGACTTGAGCCCTAAGGGTCTCTCTCTCTCTCTCTCTCTCTCACACACACACACAGAAACACACAAACATTATCACACACTGTCTCTCTCACACACACTGAGAGCCTACACATCATACACTGTTATACACGCACACAAACACAGAGCCTACAGACACAGAATCACCTCCCTGTCATACACTGTCACCTCCCTGTCATACACACAGACACATACACACCCCACCATACACTGTCACACACACACAACCTACACACACAGGAACACACCCTGTAACACACCCACACAGAGCCTACACTCACAGAAACACACACAGCCCATCACACATGTGAACACTCACACAGAGTCTGCACACACATAAACACACACACCATCACACTCAAATGCATGTGTGCACACCAGACTGTCACATGCACACACACACTCACACCATCACACACCCACACAAATATAGAGCCTCCACATGCAGAAACACATGACGCACTGTCACATGTGTTCACACACACCATCTCTCACACACCCCATCACACATGCATACACACAGGCATGCACACGTACATCCTATCACACACACACACACACACACACACACACACAACTTGTCCCATACACAACCGTCCCACACATACACACACACACACACACAAACCCATACAATCTCCCATCCTGTACACACAATCCTCTCCCCCCAAAACATACACATATCCCCTCCAAGGGGCAGCAGGGGACACACACACACACACACACACACACACA